CCTCATTCATATTACATGTTTAGTATACGGGCTTCACGGCGTAGAGAAGAAAACTAACGGAAATATTCCATACGAAAATAATTTGATATAAAGCACAAAGAATTTATAAAGGTTCCTCTTCAGATTGAGATGTTGATGCAAAGTCATTTATTGTCTGTTTATAACTCCAGCGATGCCATGTGAATCCATCAAGCTAAGAACGCATTTGGCACTAAAGCAGGTCAGAGAATCTACCAGGAATTAAGGCACAATTAAAAATATACGTCAGTCAAAAAGGAAGCTACAATCATGTGGCGTTTCCCTAAATAGAGTTTTGGACGTCACTGAGAAAGCAGAAGCTGGAATATGTCTGTCCCTGTACAATGTGAGCATAGTGTGGATAAGAACGGTGTGTGACGTCCTGCAAGGAAATCCAAGATAGAGACAGTCGTTGCTGTGACGAAATGTTTACAGGTAAGACGTTGTGTTAAAATGTTGTCCCGTCACGTCTGTGAATGCTGGAAATTCTTCCGCACACGAATGTATCCTGACAGACACGAGCCACAGAACTTACTCCAGGAAATATTGTCACGTATATGAGTGTGACTATAGATGGTGTTTGGATTTACTGAACACTTATAGATCGTAACTACAAGTAATTATAAAGCTCTCGCTAATTCATTTATTCGTCTTCTCACTATAGCACATAATAATTCTTCTCGCTTTGTTTTCACTAGCCGGTTCTTGATAATGGATATTAACAATGCTCTATGCTTGCGTCCTTACATGTCACACAAACGTCCTACTCTTCTGATTGAATGAACTCAACTAACTGCAGTTCCAACTTGTCCCGCTTGTAACATCTCGGCACGGACCACACAGAAAACAACTTCCCTCGTTATAGTTGAACTTTTGCCGTGGAAACATGTTTGTTTGCGAAGCCGTTACTCACTAACGCCCATGTACAACTGCTTATTTCGCGGTCATTGCTCAACAACGGGTCTACATGCTACAATATAAGGAAGAGAAATTTTGTAACATACTATAAGGCAAATTATATACTATAATTAATGTGATATTGCTGAGAACACGTTTCTTTTTAATTTTTATTGCATAATTGCGTGAACATTTTGTCAGTTAGTGCGTAGAAATAATCATTAATACCTGACGTGTCTGTATTAGAGCTCCAGTAAATTAATTATGAATAAAGCTACTGCTACTACCTTGTCTGCACACACCACGAACATAAATTCTTCTTCGTTTTATGTTTTCAAAGCTGCTCTGGAATAGGAACAGCCTATCTAACAACGTAGAGCACACATACTCATACAAACGAGGTGAGAAGTACGAAACCAAGCCAACGGGGAAGCTGCCGGGTTCGGATATACTCGTAAACTGATGAAAATGACAATGATAATAATAATAATAATAATAATAATATATGGCAGGATGATGAAGATTATGATCAAGACGATATGATTGGGCGTGAGGTTAATTTAATCTCTTTTATAATTATGTAGTAACAGTAGCCGTAACAAAAATAGAAATAGTAGCAGCAGTAGTAGTAGTAACAGTAATAGTTGTAGCATCAATGGTAGTAGTAGCAGGCGCAGCAGTAACATAAATAGTAATAGTAGTAGTAGCAGCATCAGTAGTACCAACAGTAACAGCAATTGCAATAACATCACCATCAGCAGCAGCAGTTGTAGTAGTTGTAGTAGTAGTAGTAGTAGTAGTAGTAGTAGTAATTGCTAAAAGTAAAGGACGGGACGAAAGGACGGTAGAAAAGGAGAGAAAAAAAGAAAGGGGAAAGGCGACAAAACAAAAGAAAATTTACCTGTTTCTCTTGTTGGTGTTGCTATGATGGTGTAGTAGTGCAGTTCTGTATGTTAACTGGTTCCTTGCGTCACATTACTCGATATACGTATACATGACAATAGAATTCGAAAGAAATGAAGTTTCTCTCGGGGCAAAGATAAAAGAGGCGCCCCGCAGGTTGTCAGACACGCCGCAGAAATGACGGCGAAGGAATTGCTACTTCCTGTGTGCGACACGTCTGTCGGGTTCACTTTTTTGCCTTGACATCTATTTGAGGAAGTAACATCTGAGACGTTACCTTAGGATTATTTTGGTTCAGGCTGTCTGTCGTCTCTTCATTGTAACATGGAGCGTGGAGTAACCGAGTACGAACACTTGTCTTTCGTGTTCAAGTAATACTTCAAAGTTGTACAATAGCCTGAGTTATATTTCTTGAACTCCAACACAGACAAGATCCTCTTAAAAGAAAGTAGTGTATTCATTCAACTTCTGCCCGCACCCCTTGCAACTGAAGCTGAAAAATCTATCACGTTACATCTTACATAATAAGATAAAAGAACACAGAAACGGAATCAGAATTATTTGTACGCATTGTACAAAATGAAGCGATCGAACGAACGGCTTGGCTTGGTAATTTTGTTTTATTGTTAGTGGTGTGGGACTAAGTCCTTGTACTGCGGCCACTTCTGGCCTATTGTACCAGCCCCAGATGATAGGTGAGGGTGATTGTGGAGCAATTGGTGGAATGAAGATTGGCAGGGGAAACCGAAGTGCTCGGAGAAAACCTGCCACAGCGCCACTTTGTCCACCACGAATCCCACTTGACCAGACCCAGGATCGAAACCGGACCGCCGCGGTGGGTGCCCTGGCAATAACAATCTAGACTAGAATTCCGGAGGTGATAGGTTCAATCTCAGATTGTTGATCGTACTGCGATAAGTATTTATGTCATATTATGATTTTCAATTAACTCTTCATTAATCACTTATCATTCGACGCTACAAAGTCTACACACTGACAGAGTCCTAAAGTAGACCACACAGACGGGAGTTTTCGTCACGATAATGATAATTTCTACCTTACTGAGCCAGCGCCATGTGTACCTCTGCTGCTCAGTTTTCTTTCGCATTCGGGAAATAGCATGCGATATCCTGACGAGACATTCGTGGGCTTCCTTATAGGAAAATTATGCCAACTAGACTTATATTGAAATAGTCCAAGACTTATGAATTAAATTAATTCGTAATAATCACAGAATTTCTTCCAAAACCAGTTGAATAGCATTGATAAATAAAAGAAAAATCAATATGAAGAAGATTTTTTTGCCTTGTCACTACAGCCCCAGTGGGCCTAGGCCTACCTCCATGAACTTCTCCGTTCACTTCGGTTTTTCTAGATCTTACACATTCGGTAGGACTCCTTGGGTGGGTCATCAGCTCGTCGCAAGGCCTCTACCTGTACACAAACACAGAAAAACGCACACACACAAATTAACATCCATGCCCTGAGTGGGATTCGAACCCACGATCCCGGTTTCCAAGCGAGCGACGACGATACATGCCTTAGACCGCTCGGCTACCGTGACCGGCAAATAGAAGTAATTAGATTGTGGATATTAGAATGTAATATTTCATCTCCTGCCGGAATTTGATCACTACCTGGCCATTTATACCGTTTCAATGTTGCAATAGCACAATTCAGGAGGAAATTAAGAGGAGATTGAACTCGAGTAATGTTTGCTACCATTCAGTCCAGAACCTTTTGTCTTCTCGTCTGCTGTCCAAAAACATAAAAATTAGAATATACAAAACTATAATTTTGCCTGTGGTTCTGTATGGGTGTGAAACTCGGTCTCTGATATTAAGGGAGGAACACAGGCTGAGGGTATTTGAGAACAGGGTGTTGAGGAGTATATGTGGACCGAAGAGAGATGAAGTGACAGGAGGTTGGAGAAAACTGCATAATGAAGAGCTTCATTACGTGTACTCTTCTCCAAGTATAATTAGAATGATCAAGTCAAGGAGGATGAGGTGAGCAGGGCATGTAGCGCGAATGGGGGAGACGAGGAATACGTATAGGATATTGGTGGGAAAGCTAGAAGGAAAGAGACCACTGGGAAGATCAAGGCGTAGGTGGGTGGACAATATTAGAATGGATCTTAGAGAGATAGGATGGGGTGGAATGGATTGGATTGATCTGGCTTAAGTTAGAGACCAGTGGAAGGCTCTTGTGAACACGGTAATGAACCTTCGGGTTCCATAAAATGGTGGAAAATTCTTGAGTAGCTGCAGAATTGACGGCTCCTCCAGAAGGACTCAGCTCCATGAGTAAGTAGGTAAGTAAGTAGTGCCATTATAAATGTAACACTGCCCGTCATTATATCAACAACAACAACAACAATAATAATAATAATAATAATAATAATAATAATAATTTCTTATCTCAACGATTGTGGACACTCTATAGTGTGTATTGAAACAAAGAATTAACATGATCTTTAAGTGCCGCTGAGTCCACCACTTTTCATTCAAAAGGAGTTTTCTTTACTAGTTCGTGAGACAAAGTAAATTAATGCTTGCTTCATCTGGACCATTAAGTGCACTACAATTCATTTTGACATCCCACATACAGCTGTCTATGTATTAACTCATGTTCTGTTGAGCATAAGATTTGCCTAGGTCATTCCCGAGCTGCTATGGGATACATACTTAATGGACCGGCCAGCTGAAGGCAAGGTATACAGCCATCTTGAGCTGATCACACTGCCTGTAGGGTGCTTATGGCGGACGGTTGTGAAGAGTGTAGGAATGATGGCATAGGCAGTCCACGCCGTCCACGCCACTGCTATTCTGCATTCAGAAATCAGTGAGACCGTACTGATTTACCGCGTCAGAAAGCTGCCTGCTGTAAAACAGAAAGTTTTCTGGCCGTGTTCACAGTAGGCGACCAACGAATTTCGCCCTGAATCAATCAAACCCATTCCACTCATTCCAAACCACTTTCGCCAAGGCCAGTTTCAATATCAGCTTTCCTTCTGCGGCTGTGTTCAAAACAATATCTTTCTGAGCTTCCAGGACGACAATTTTGTCCACCATGTGTAAACATTTCTGCATGCGTTCTACATGACCATCCGCGCAGAATTATTGATTTAATCGCCTAGATAATCTGCCTATTATGTGAACAGCGCGAATGAGTGAACTCACCAAGTGACTCAACATAGATTGAGGGCGTTTGATTAGAGGATGCAGAGAACATCTGGACCTAAAATACAGGAAAGAGACAAATTACATAATTCCGTAAGTTGTACTCTCACAGCAGTATCATTATGGTGCTCAAAAGGAAGAGGATGTGTTGGAAGGAATGCTTTACTTTACTTACTTTATCCAATATTGTAAACAGTTTTATGTGAAAACTAATTTTGCATTAAAATTATGAATCCTAAAGTGATTTCGCTCCCATCATAAGTACCACCGACTATAATTTAATCACTTGTCCAAGGAGTCCCACCGTCTGTGTAAAACAGCTTACGAAACTGAAGAGGCTAGGGCCCAACATAGGGCTGTAGAGCCATTGATGAATGAATGAATGAATGAATGATGAACTATAATTTAACGGTAAGATGTGTGCACTGTTCGTAGCTAGCGAGGATACGATACTTTAAAGAATTATTATAAATTAAAAAGGAACATGCAGTTGATAAAGCATTATTAAAGGAATAACGAATGCTGAAGGTGAGAAATACATAAAAGAACATGGTCGGATGACCTCAAAAGCAGACTTCGGAGACCTAGGCGAAACTGGGAGGATAATATTAATCTGCGTATCACAGTGGATTAGATTCGACTGGCTCAATATCAAAGGGGGAAAGGTTTCTGTGAACGCAGCAAAGAAGCTTTGAGTTCCGTACAAGTAGAGAGTTCCTTGGCCTGCTGAAGTACTATGAACATTCTAAGAAAGAGACAACTAACTCTTCAAGTAAGAGTGCTGTGGTACCGGGTGGGTTGGTTGGTTGGTTGGTTGGTTGGCTGGCTCTGTTTCAGGCAATGGCTGCACATCTGACACGCCTTTATTAGAGAGGTCGTTAAAACAGCAAGAAAATCTTACTTCAAATACCTGTCATTGCATAAGGACATACTGCAAGGATATTTATAGTCTTAGAATGATCACAGAGATGTCGAGCTGACTTCGTAGAACTGTACCATTAAGGAAGTGTCACGTGTTCAGAATTATATGACTGATATGATACCAAAAACAAAAACCTTCAGATATCACAGAAATTCCTGTCTTACAATGTTATAAAAGTGAAATCTCCCCGTATCTGACATAGGCTTTGTCTTCGGCAAATATCCCACCTATAATGCCAACTGAAGCACAGGTATTTCTCACTATCACCTGGTGGTCCTACTCGAAACTACTAGGTTCGAAATTCCACAAATTGCCGCCTTTCATTATCGCTGGAATCGAACCCTAGGCACTTGGATAGATGGTTGGAAATTAATTGTAATACAGAGAACTATACGAAGATACGCCTTGAAAATGCGGTGTCTTTGACCACATGCGTCGATTAAAAGAACTTCAAATATTTTCACTCCTGCAAATTTCCCTCACGGGATATTCAGCACTGCTCCTAAACTGTGAATTGTGAGAACGTTAGATTTTTCTAACGAAAAATTAAAGTTTAAAATATATTGCTCACTGCATCAGCTTTAAATTTTTAGTTAAGTTCGTGGAAGGAAAATTCACAATAATTTTCAAATGTGAACATGACATAAACAAATTGCTTTAAATTAGCACAATAAATCTCATTAGCTTTAAAGTGCGTGGACTTGAATTACATCACTTGGGAAACATTCTTTGAAACTCTGCCTTTAAAATAAGTGGATCGCGGCATACGAAAAGACGGATGTAAAACAATGACACACCGGTAAGCATACACATGAACCCACACAGACAAAGAGACCGTCCAGCGAAAGAACTTCATACGTAGGCGTAAGACAAAACAATGAACACGAGCAAACTAAGATGGAGGGACGACTCTTCTCAAGCGTCCCTTCACTGTGGCGGTCCTACAGTGTACACTGGTTCATTTAATAATGCTTTATCAACTGCATGTTCCTTTTTAATTTATAATAATTCTTTAAAGTATCGTATCCTCGCTAGCTACGAACAGTGCACACATCTTACCGTTAAATTATAGTTCATCATTCATTCATTCATTCATGCATCAATGGCTCTACAGCCCTATGTTGGGCCCTAGCCTCTTCAGTTTCGTAAGCTGTTTTACACAGACGGTGGGACTCCTTGGACAAGTGATTAAATTATAGTCGGTGGTACTTATGATGGGAGCGAAATCACTTTAGGATTCATAATTTTAATGCAAAATTAGTTTTCACATAAAACTGTTTACAATATTGGATAAAGTAAGTAAAGTAAAGCTATCCCTGTAACAGGCCGTGAAGGGCCATAGAGTTGTGAGAAGTTGAGGTTCCCAATTTTTTAGACAATAGGCTCATAGATGATGGCAAGGTTGTCAGCCTTAAGCGCCGGCCGCCCTTCAGCCCCCGGAAGATTCCTCGTACTCATTTCTGTTAGAGGCTGAGTCGACCCCAGGGCCATAGTGCGGCTGGAAGATTTAGGTAAATTGAGGAAATCTACCTCATCGGGATTCGATCCCGCGACCTTCAGGCTTGTAGCATTGCGCCTCAACCAACTACGCTACCGCGTGCCCCCACAATATTGGATATTACATAAAAAGCATGGATATGGAGAGAAAATAACTCAAAAGTCCAAAAATATGGCACAACAAAAACAAACATAAATTAATTAAAATAGATTGACAAGACCTGTTATTTCATACAGATAAAAAGCTTGGACAACAATAACAAAATAAAAGAAACGATGAAGCCGCTGAAATGCACTTTTTTGAGATCAGCAGCAAGAAAAAGAAGACGAACAAACAGGAGCACAACTTTTTTTGACGTAATCCCTCTAATTCTCCAACATCCCACCAGAATCTGGATGTTATCCGAGAGAAAAGCTGTCGATTGCTCTTGAAGGCAACGCCATTGTCAAGGTTTAAGAGTCCCGTGTTTACGTAAAGCTCCTTAGTAGTCTAAAAGTGACAGTCATGTGGGGGAGGTCGGGACTGCACGGTGGATGAAAGAGAAGCTCGAATTTAAGTTTTCAGACAACATAAAGAAGCTCGAACCACAGCACGCTGCTCATTAGTGTTGCTGCTCGGGACGCGCTAAGTGTAACGGCAAACCAAGACGTGTTTATACCCGTCTTTTTTTTTAATTCGCTTAGTGGGGGGTGGAGTCCAACTGGGTCCACTCGGTACGGCGGCCACTGATTGGCCTATTGTAACCTGCTCCGAGTGATTACGATGGAGGATTTGGTGGAATGAAGATTGGCAGGGGAAACCGAAGTACTCGGAGAAAACCCGCCCCAGCGCCACTTTGTCCACTACAAATGGCACTTGACCAGACCCGGGATCGAACCCTGGCCGCCGTGGTGGGAAGCCAGCGACTAACCGCTTGAGCTATGGCGCGGCCCCAGTTCGATATAAGTCATGGAGATCTTTTTACACGTTAATATTTAAAACACTGCGCCTTTTGAAACTACCTCCACTTCGACTTCATCCATGGATGTAGCCAAATAAATGCAACGGACACATAAATGGATATGTGTACATCAAGATTTGTCTGGTTCTTCTACTGAGAGAATTCCAATCATTATTTCCATATTCTGCAGACCACTAAGGTATATGATGCAATCTGTTTACGGCTACTCCAAGCTCGACAGTGGCACAATTGTAGATTACATCAACGCCAAGCACAGAAATTGTGCCTTATCATAAATTACGTTTTCTTGTATAATTCCTGACATACCAGTTTCTATTCCCCTTTTAAGACTACAGCTGTCGGTTTAATTGCGTATCAGGTATCATGCGAAAGACTAATTTAATATCGATGTGAAAAAGATCGTCTTGAAATTGAACAATTATTCAAGGGTATTTTTATTTTGAAAGGTTCACTTTAAAAATGACATACTTTAAAATTTGCATGATGTATTTTGTATCTCATTGCTTGCTGAGAGAATGACATGCCTCACCTCCTATGAATATATCAGATGTGCGATACAGCTCTTGAAACATACATATTTTGTGTCATCACTTTGACATCATATAAGTATTTTTTATTGCTAGTGGGGTGGGGCTAAGTCCCTTGTACTGCGGCCACTTCTGGCCTATTGTACCAGCCCCAGATTAGAGGTGAGGGTGATTGTGGAGCAATTGCTGCAATGAAGATTGGCAGGGGAAACCGAAGTACTCGGGGGAAACCCGCCCCAGCGCCACTTGTCCACCACAAATCCCACTTGACCCAGAACCGGGATCGAACCCGGGCCGCCGCGGCTGGAAGCCAGCGACTAACCGCTTGAGCTATGGCGCGGCCTTAGGTAAGGTTACTATCTGTGGCTTAACAAAAATCGGGTATTACTTTCTCATGAGGCATTCCGGCTGTGTAATGTAGCTCATCTTAGACACCTAAAGATAAAAGGTTAACATATACCTGTATTAATTATATTATGATGATTTAGGAGTGACTACAGACGGCGTTTGGATTGGTGAATTGCATTTGATGAACACTTGTACACACCACTTGGACTACAAGTAATTACAGATCTATGACTGATCCCCACAATTTACAAATCACTACACGCTAAGTCCTTTCCCTGCCTGCTGTGTCTCCAACAGCCGTTCTCTTGCAACGGCTTTTAACTGTGGAGATTTTTGAGCTTTCAGGGTTCCCGCCGTTAGTGTCCGGTAAATATCCTGCAACTGAAATATTTTCTTCAAAGCCGAACTTTCAACTCTCAAAACTGAACTGGATCGCCATCTCTTCTAAGCCTCCCTTGCAAATCTCAACTGAACTGCCAATCCTCTACTGAGTCACTCACCAACCAACTACTTCACTTCACTTCACTTCACCGAACTAAACTGAACTGCTTTCAGCCTGAGTCTGAGTCTGAGTCTGAGTCTGAGTCTGAGTTTGAGTCTCATTTTACGACGGACGGTCAGTCAGCCAGTCTGTCTTGGCATAAAGCACCCATCTGGGGCTTGCGACCAGATCTTTATTACTGTTTGACAGTTACGGTCTTTTTTTGTTGTTGAGTTGTTTCATTCTGGTCCGTCACACTAACAATTACAAATATAAATCACTCCGTCCAATGTGACCTGTAAGTTTTTACTACATGAAAAC